TGGTTATTACAGAGGATGTCTAATTGTAGGGTTAGCCAAAAGCAGGTTTTGATGTACTTTGCAAACATTAGCTAGCTGCTAAAAGTCTCCTTTACTTCCCTTTAAAAGAAATAAAGGAGATGTTTAATGGAAAGAGGTGATTACATGTAAAAAGTTGTGTTCATTTATTTATTTTAGAGGGGAAGTAACAATAATGATGGTTGATTGATTTTTATAAAATTACCCAAGGTCACTTGTGGGGCATACTCAGCTTTCATGAACAATCATAACAAGCAATTTAAGGGTCACAGCCAAAGGCTGATTTCAGCCCTGCTCTTTATTTCGGCTTTCAGAAATGGGGTCAAACTCCATAAAGTGGAGAAATAAAGTCCTCCCACTGGCCTCCCATACTCAAGTAACTATTCTTTAAAGCAGCCCACTGTATATTTGTTTTAAGCTAATAAAGTGTGAGGATAAATCACTTGGGGACTCGGCACAGAGCTAGATTAAATATAAATTTTACATTCTTTCACACCAAGAAGGCTTCACTTTGGTTATCACTTATAATATTTCAACCAAAAATAGCCAAATTCCTCATCAAACTCTCTTCTTAATTTACCTAGATTTCTTTATATTTGCCACTGATCAAGTGAGGAGGGAAGGCTTTTTAGTGGGGAATAATGATTATTATATTAATTAATCAGTCCTGTTGATAGTACTGTTGCCAACACAAATCATTCATTTTCTTTGGGCTGATCTTTTCTCCCTTCATTAGCGTCATTATTAGTTCCCATCAGTAAATGACGTTTTAAAATTTCTACCAATTTGTTTCAGTGTATTTAATATTTTGCTTGATGATACGAGGGACAAAGTCCAGGTTTATAAATTTACCCAGTAATCCCTGTAATCTGTCTCAACTCCTTTCGGGAATGAGGCATGGTATATCTACATTAACAAAATTAAAGTAAATCATATATAAACAAGCCATAGGCAAACTTACTTAGGTTAATACATGTTTTTCCTTAAATGTAACAATGATAACAACCCTAATTAATGAAAAAGCTACCTGGGAGGGTTTTCAGAAGTAGATAGACAGTGAGCTTTTCTGCCAGGTGGTCCTGGGTTCTAATGCTTACTCTGCCTATTCCGGGCTGACACAGCCTCTCTCAGCCCACTCTCTGCTCTGCGAAAGACAGAGAGTGATATCAACCTCATAAGCTTGTTTTGAAGGTCATTTCAGACAACATATCTAACAATTCTGGCATATGGTAGGTGCATAATAAATGTTAGCTTCTAGGTTTCCCCCATAGTCTTACTTGAATTCCTGACTGTATGTGTAATACCTTTCTCAGGTGAAATTCAAAGTTCACTGCAGCATAGGCAGGTCAGGAAAACATGAGTTCCATGTCTCCATTCACTGTCAAATGCACACCTGACAGCATTCTTGAAGAAGTAGATGTCAAATATTCTAGAGCTGGAAAGAGCCTCATGAGAACACATGATTCTACCCTCCACTGATGAGAAAACAGACAATCCCTAGGCACTGAGTAGGACAGATTTGAGAACTGAGTAATCTGAAGCCCAGCAATTGTATGGGACTTACTGAGGGTCATTCAGAGGCTGATATCAGAGTCAGGACAGGAACCTTGATTCCATGCCCTGTCTCCAACAGTTGTTCATCAAGGTCAGCTCAGATTTCCTGACTATTTATGATGGAGGAGTCCTGCCGTGCAAATCCGTGGCCCACCAGTTGAAGATAATTAGTTGGGACATTAATGACATGTAGCTGTGAGTTAAAAAGTTTCAGTAAACATAAGATTGTGGCCTGTACCACAGGCCACAGTTCTTCCCTCTTGTTCACAGCAGGAGTCATGATTATTATTGCACTTCTAGTGATTATTCTTGTCATTGTAATGACAATGGAAGGGAAAGTGACAGTTAAAATTGCCAGTGGGTCCTTTGGAAGTCTGGTAGGCAGTGTCGTGCCACTCTAGCATCAAGCCTATAGATCACCAAAGGATAGTTTCATGCTTCTTGGAAAGTTTACCTTTGAGTATATGATCTATATGCCATATTTCAGAAGGGAAGTCAGGACACCGATGGTGAGCTGTTGGAAGGAAGTGGTCTAGTAGTGCTAAAGGGATGGAGCAGCTGTGGAAATTGATCAGTAATAGCAATAATGGGGGAAGAGAAGATGATGAGTGTGACGATAGCAGCAGACACCGTGGCAGTAAGTGTCTCATAGGTGTCAGACCTGAGACCAGGGATCTACAAGCATCATTTCAAGAAGTGTCGCCATAATTCTCTGAGGGAAGAACTCTTACCATGCACATCCATGTGGTGAACTGGTTACCCACGTGAAGTGTGTTCTAAACCGTGGCTGAAAGGAAAGGGCAGTTTAAGGGGTTGAGTCCAAGTAAACATCTTATGACTCTTACTGATGGTGTGTGGCTCGAGCTTTAGGATTGAAGGCTAGAAGGCTTGATGAAGGGAGCTGAGGAAAGTTGAAGAGGAATGTGAGAACAGAAGGTCAGGGAAGAAGTGCCCTCCACATTTGACTATTGGGTCAAATCTTTATTGATCACTATCTCTGCACTGAGATGGAGGTAAACAAAAATGACTAAAGGCATCTTAGTTTTTTTCTTGTCTCCTTCTCATTCTTCCAGTACATATTTAAGTACTTCCAGTTGAGATTTCTAGAAAACAACAACAATCTAACACAATAATTTGGCTTTAGGACAACATTGGATTTAGGACTAAATTTAGCAGATGAAGAGTCTTTGCTCTTCACTGCCCCTCACCAAGACCCTCCTTATTACAATAGAATCTGCTTTTGGAGCCATTTCTGACACCTTGCCCTCTCCACCTCCTTGCCTACCTTTAGCTCATTGAGACAACGTATGGACTTAGAGATTAAACGTAACAACATCCTTTCTGAGAAAATGGGAGTACGTGTATGTGTGTGTTTGTCCATTAGGTAGTTCAGACTCTTAAATCAGATTCTCTAAAAAGATATAACCATTTGTTTCTTTGCTCAACAATTATATATTGAGTGCCAACTGCCTATCAGTCACTGTTCTAGACACTGGGAATATAGAAGTGAACACAGCAGGTAAGTGCCCTCATGAAGCATGCATTCTAGTGGGGGGAGGGCAGACAGTAAACATGTAAATATATAATATGTCTGATGTTAAGTGTTATGAAGAAAAATATGTTTGGGAAGGGGTTTGGGGATGCTATTTTGTATAGACTAGATGGGGCAGGCCTCAGGGAGAAGTTAACATCTGAATAGGAACAGGAGGGAGAACGCCACGTGGATGTCTGACAGGCAAACATCGCAGGTAAAGGAAGAACAGATGCACAAGCGTTAGTTTGAGGACTAACAAGCAGGCCAACGTGTTTGGAGAAGATGAGTGAAGAAGTGAGTTTTAGAAGATGATGTTGGGGGGTTACTGGAGATGGGGTGGCAAATCATGGGGGGCCTTCGTAGCCCAATGTAAGACCTTTGGCTTTTATCTTGGTTGAGATTAGAAGCTCCTGTAGGGTTTGGAAAAGAGGACCCCTGCTGTTTCCAGTATAAAGCACAACTCTGACCACTTTATTACAGGATAGAAGAGTCTAGTCCGGTGCTTCTGCAAACCACGTACAGGAGGGCGATAGATTTAATAGCTCATTTAAGTTAAAGTATTTATATGGGATGCTTTAATTATTTTGGCATAATTGGGAAAATGCTGCATGAAATGCAAATATTCTAAATCCTTTTAAAGAAAAATGTGATAAAGATGAAAGTTTGTTTTAATATCTTAATTATTTATTCTCACAATATAAAATAATTTTATTATAAAATAATATTCCTATGTTACAGAAAATTTGGATATTAGAGCAAAACAGTAACCATATCTGTTAAGGTTATTTGATTGCAAATAACAGAAACCAACTTTCTTTTAAAAAGGAAATTTATTGGGGATGTATTGAGTATCTTACATAATTGGTGGAAAGTCTGGCAAGTCAGGTGTAGAAGTGATAGCAATCAGGGCATTTTGAAGGAGATTGGTAGGCGAGGGGTCTCAGAAACGTAAACTCTTCTCAGGCTCATTAAGATACCGCCACTGGGATTACTGAGATCTGAACATCTCCAGTCTTCTCTTTGCTCCAGATTTCCATTTGAAGCCTGGGTACATGACTTAGGCTATGGTAGGCCAGGACACCATGATTGACAGTCCCACTCTATTCAACGGAGCAGAGCAGTTCCTTAAGGAAATTAGAGTCTATTATCAGAAGAAAAGTACAATGGATGTTGGTCAGCTAAAGTGCTACAAATGTCATGATGGTGGCCCTAATTACACTTCCTTTTATCCTAATCCTTATAATTTGGGGACATTTTATTCTATTCTTATTTCCTGTTGACTTGTTTCCCAGATTTTTTTTTTAACTTGATTTTATATGCTGCTTTTATCTGCTGCTAGATGGTAAAAATGACTAGCTTCTCATTCCTTGTTTAAGCAGTCCTAAATTGCTGGATATTTAGGTTACTGTCATTAAAAATATTATAGGGGCTGGCCCCGTAGAGTAGCGGTTAAGTGCGCACGCACGCCCGGGTTCGGATCCCGGGCGCGCACCGACTCACCGCTTGTCAGGCCATGCTGTGGTACCATCCCATATAAAGTGGAGGAAGATGGGCGCAGATGTGAGCCCAGTGCCAGTCTTCCTCAGCAAAAAGAGGAGGATTAGCATGGATGTTAGCTCAGGGCTGATCTTCCTCAAAAAAAAAAAAATATATGTATTATAAATACAGCTGTAGTGAATAGTGTTAGCTAACCTAAGCTGGCTTTGTAATGTAGTGCTTCTACTCCTGGGTGTCTGAGACACTCTATTGTGCTTCTAGAAGAAAGGGCAAGATAAAATGAGTCTAATTCCAGAAGAAGTATATAAATGAAGAGGATTTCTTTAGACATTGTAACTGTCAAAAGGAGGTGAGCCTTACCCTCTCAGGGACTGATCATCTTCTCTTTGGCCATTAGGAGGCAAGCTGATTTTCATGGATCCGGGACCTGTCGAGCTCAGGGCACACTCCATCCTTGTTTCTGATGGTGGAGAGCTCCGGATTGGATCCAAGGACAAGCCCTTCCAAGGCAAAGCTGAGATCAAACTCTATGGCAGTTCCCACTCTACCCCCTTCTTTCCTTACGGTGTCAAGTTCCTGGCTGTGAGGAATGGAACTCTTTCCCTGCATGGTGAGTGAGGCCATTGACCAGAGAAGATGAGAGAGAGCTGTGTCTAGCCAATGCCCAATGGGCAGTGGGGAAAATGATAAAACTACCTAAAACTATTTGGCTGTTAGTTGCTGAGGCAACCAAGTTTATTAGAGCATGGGCACTATTTCCTTAAATAAGAAATATTAATTGTTATGATTCCTGTGGGAGAGTACATTATAGTTCCCAATTATTTGCTCCCCTTCCTATAAGGGTTATATACTTCCACCCATGCCAGGTGACTTTCAGGTCCTCCATGGGGGTGGACCACACTTCCCTGCCCCACTGAGAGTGGGCCTAGCCAAGGACTTGCTTTGGTCAATGGAGTGTGAGCAGAAATGATGTACTGCATGGCCGAGTAGAAGTTTTAAGAGCTGTTACGATGTTTTGGCCATTTTGCTCTTTTCCCTCTGCTTGAGAATAACCTGTCCCAGATAGGGGCAGCTCCTTCGGCTTGGGAACCTGAATGACAACAGGGGCGGAGCTGCAGCCTACCTACTGCTCTCACGCATGTGAGTGAGGAATAAATCTTTGTTGTTATAAGCCACTGAGATTTGCGTTTGTAACTGTAGCATAATGTAGTGAAAACTGACTGATACAATTACTGAGCATATACTAAGGGCTGTATACACTGATGGCATCACAAACCAATAGAGACCACTCCATTTGGTTGTTATTGTGGTTGTGTTCTCCTCCTGTGAACAGGGTTCAGTTAGAGTTCTGCTTAGAGTCCTGTTACAGATGGGTTGGTTGTTTATGGATTTCTGGGAAAAAACAGCAATTATGCTACAGACTGTTTCTGCTCCAATTTTATTTGCCTTTTGATCACCTAATCCCACTTTGCAAAATGGACATTTTTATTTTCCTTGAGATTCAGGAAATTTCTGTGTCCCAGGATAATCCTTAACATCAACTGGAAAATGTAAGTATAAAATGATAAGTTTTAAATATCTTTCAGTGGATACTTATATACTTTTGATTACATAGCATGAGCCAAAGGTAGATCAAAATGTGGGCTCCAGGTAGTGGCCCAATCTCCAGAAAACATGATGTTGCATTGGCATTTCTATATTGGCATAAGAAGATAAAACCCCACTGCCTAGCATAGAATAATTATTCTAGACTTGGGCATGTATCTATGCTGAGGAGTCTGACATTTTGCTCCATCAAGGCTCTACTATGAACTGTAGGCCTCAATCACTGTCTAATAAAAAGCACTCTTTGCCTCTTTTGGCTTACTATGAGAGGAAGTGGGATCTTTTTGTCAAGTATTTCTTGTATTGACTAGGGCCCAGCCAGAGTGCTAGACACTGGGGATAAATTTTATAAGGTTTAAAAAACCCATAACTATCTGGACAAAAATTCAAAATGCCTGTAATATTCTTATGTTCTACTTCTATGGAGGACTTTTTTCTCTATCTTCATCAGCAAGCACTTAGATTGATCTTGTAGCCCAGGATCCATGATAGTTTTCTATCCGTTCACACATCAGCCATGATCTTTAAATGTTTGTTCTAGTCCAACAGCCACTTAGGCCACCAACCCAATGTGTTGCTGTTTACCACCAAAAAAAACATAGCCGGAGAACAAGATGGCACAGATCAATCTGAAGGATCCTGAAGCTTAACAGGATCCTCTGGTTTGATAGCCAGTGTCCTATACAATGCAGATGGCACAACTCCTGCTAGAAATGGAAATTCAAGTGAGGAAGAGGGAAAACACTCCTAATTCTTTTACTTTACTTCTTTCACTCCAACTCCTTCTCATTCTCAGGTTCTATTATGAAGGATCAGCAAAAGAGTTCGTAAATATACCTTGATGTGCCTGTACTTTAAATGTACCCTGTGCTGCTAAGCCTTTGTGTTTAAACAGATGTCAAGTTAAGAAAATCTCTAGCGCCATTGCTTACCGTCACTATGGGGCAATTAAAGCAAAGTACTTGCTTCTGATATGTTTTGAGAATTCTGAAAGTTAAAAAAAAAAAATGTTGCTGCTTTAGCCCTGTGATGTTACTGGATATTGAGAGTGCAGACACCTCCTCTCCCTCTGCTCCCTCCTCTACTTCTCTTTCTCCTTCTCCCTCGTCTTCCTTTTCCTCCTCTCCTTTCTTCTATTCCCAGGGATAGGTTGTCATCAAAAACTGCTTTACCCATTTCCCCAAAGCCCTGCCGGTACAGGAGCGACCAGGATCTCTCGCGAACCACGGAGCTTCCACAAGGAACGCGGGCAAAATCAAGCGATTTTCCTCTCTGATGGGGTGCTGCCGCATCTCGTTCATTTGAAAGAAATACTATGTAGAAAAGAGCTTAGCCACCAGGTGGGCGAGATTCCTTTCTGCATCTCTGTCACAGAACCCCAGTCACACACAGCCTGCAGCTCGTCAATCCGCTCCCTTCGCCTCACTCCCTCACCACCTGAGGTCTCAAACAGATTGCCCCTCAGGCACGGTGGTATATCGTGGTTAAAATCGTTACGTAATTTCACTGGCCTTTTTCCAGGGCCAGAGGTGGGTCTGGTGACACTGGGGCTTTAGGGAGAAACTAATTTTCTTTTGCTGTCAAATATGCAAAACAGTGAGCAACTTGATTCACTGCTTTGCACCCAGAAAGTCCCTAATGACCCAGCATTCACTCAGCCTCCCAGGATGATGTAGTGAGGAGATTCACCAACTTTAGGGCACAGAAGAATCTTCTGGGGGAGATTTTTAAAATGCAAATTTCTGGGCCTCTCCCGCAGCGTCTGAACTGGTGAGCCTGAGGTGGGCCCAGGAATGTGCATTTCAATGGGACCCTCAGGTGATTTGATTCAGGCGGCCCACTGACGACACTTGGAGAAACGCTGTTTTTAGTGGTCAATAGTTTTGGAATCACAGATCATCTAGTTCTTCCGTTTATCAGCTATGGCTTTGAGCAAAACCCTGGAAAACACAGTCTCCACCTCATAGACTTATGTTTGTGAACAGCTCCAGAATATCTGGTACAGGGTAGCACTCAAGCAGTGTTGCCTATGGCTATTTTGGTTGTACTCTTCCCCACTCCCCACCACCCCACCCCACCCCACCCCACCCCCTGCCCACCAAGGCGCTGAGTACCCAGTGCCAATGATCTCATATTTTCTTTTAGGGTGAGAAGGGAGGGGATGCTATTTCAAAATTTGGCATGGGGCCAGCTCTGCCTAGCGATTTTTCTCCTTATTAATTTTGTTTACCTCTTTTTGTCAGAGTGCGAGAGAGATCTTAGCTTTGGATATTATGAGCTGATGATGACATTCCCAGACATCTTCTGCTCAGTTCCCACCACCTGGCAAACACCTTTTGATTTTAATCTCTCTTGGTGCAGCTGTTTCCCAGCAGTGGATAACCTCCGTTCTCGGGTGTGGTTACAATAAAGGTTCTTGGAAACCATTTGCATGGGCCCCAGTTACAATAAAGTTTCTTGGAAACAATTTGCATGGGCCGCAGTTTAGCCAGAAGCAGAGCACTGCCCAGTATAGGAGGCCTTTTGCAGGCATTTTATTCCTAACAGCCAACAGTCAGAGGACTGACTGATGGATGCTCATTTAACTCCAGTGCGGGTCATAGAGAATCACGCAGATGGGTCTGCATGTCAGTAATATAGCTTTTCCCACCTTCTCCCTCCCACCTCATTCTTCATTTCTGCCCCTGGTAACCCTTCTGTTCGAGCTAATTTTTATCATAGATTAAAATCGCTAAGCAAACAGGCTTTGCTGTTCAGCTGTCACAGGGAAAGATGGAGTTGAAAGCATATTTCATGTTTTTCTTTTAATGTAGAAAAGCTCACACACACTCATACACTCACACACACACCTGCATGAATGCACACCCACATGCAGCACTGTCTTTCTCTTTCTCTGGGTTTGGAAGTGCATTGGGGCAAGGCATGTTCTGAATCTCTGGTGGAGATCAGATGGTTTAGTAAGTTCTGTCGGCTGCTCACTTTGATATGTTAATATGACTCAAGGGTCTCAGGATTGCTCCAGAGGGGCGGTCTGGGCTTTGGGTGGTTGTAATCAATAAGGAAATTTCACTCTTGCCTTTTGCTTTCCCCACTCCATCTGCCAATCCAGGTTCACCATCCCAAACCGAGTGCCAATCACATGTCACTGTTCTAGGGGGTCACTGTCAGCCTGGGCAAAGTGAATTTTTGACAATGTAATTATGGCCCTTGCTTCCACAGTGGGAGTCTGCACGGATGGGGGGGCTTTTATTGATTGTTCAGCAGGGAAATTTATCAATGTCTCTCACTTCATTTCCAGTTCCTCCCTGAGAAATTTGGCTGACAGTTTCTTAGGAGGAAAAGCAGTCTTACAGCCTTGAATGCACTTCTGTCTTTGTCCTTTTCAAGAAATTACAAGATCCAGGCATTAAATATAAATGAAAGTTTCTGGGAAAAGCAAGGGTGTGGGGGCACGATTGAGGAAAACACTAGAGCAATTGTTATAAACATAAGAATTTGGTAAGAATAAATAGGAAAAACGTAGTCTAAACAAGCGAATTTAGATATGGTTTGTTTCCCTTCTTAAAGTAGCAAGTATCTATATTTAAATTCTGTGCTTCTTTTTTTCCCTTTTTCTCCCCACAGCCCCAGTAGACAGTTGTATGTTATAGTTGCACATCCTGCTAGTTGCTGTATGTGGGACGCCTCCTCAGCATAACCCGACAAGTGGTGCGTCAGTGCGTGCCAGGGATTCGAACCCGGACCGCCAGTAGCGGAGCATGCCCACTTAACCGATAAGCCACGGGGCCAGCCCCCATCTGTGCCTCTTTATAGGTACTGCACATGGGCACTGTTATGTAGTTGCTGAAGGGTGTCAGGTTGTCGTGAAGCGCGGTATCGTGTGTGTGGAGTAGACATGCGTGTAGGGTGTTCCTGGTGAGTGGTTTTCATACTGTGCTCCACAAAATCCCAGTGTTTCCTGGAGGAGCTTCAGAAGTTCCATAAACAGTGAAGCATTTGGGGGTC